TGTTCATGTCCACCTGGACTTTAAAAAACAAACAACCAAAACACCCACAATGGATCTGACTTGTTTTTCCTTCTGAATAATTCAAGAGAGACTTAAAACAAACTAATGTTCTTAATTGGTATTTTCTCACACTAAAAAAGTATGCTGATGTATCATTTTTCAAAAAACTTCTAACAAAAACAGGAAGAAAAAGGAAAGCTTTTTATTTCACTCATTCTGAGACACTGATGTTGGTAGTTTATTAAACGTTTTAGTTAATTGAGATTAATCAGATTACTAGTATTTTGCCCTAATACTGATGGTTTTTTCTTGCCTACAACGTTTCCAACCATCATTCCATAGTACCTGCTTGCCTGGATCCCTTAGGAATCACTCTTCCTTCCTAAGAACCCTGATGGCTGATCACCCCCATTTCATTCTCAACATCACCTGCTTTGCTGCAAGCATTTTATCCCCCAAAGACAAGTCTCTAAGTGAATGCTAAACCAACATTCACTGTAGACCTTGGACATTTAAGTCCATACATATGTTCATAGCATTAATCCACTTAATTTACACAGCAGCCTTCTTTTGAGTTTCTTAGCGCTCTTTGCAGATAGAATAAAACACCTTCAACATACCGGTTTTGGGAATCAATTAGCATCTCACAAACTTTATCACATCGTACATGATCTATATATATATCAGGACTGCTATCCACACCTTACTGAATAAACAAGGTTGTAAAATAGAATATAATCTTTTTACTGGACAGTCCTCACATTAACCTTCATTTTCGTTTTTCTGTTTTAGAAGAGACGGGGGCAGGGAGAGAAGAGGGATGCTGAAAGGGCAGGGAAGAGTGCATTATGCTTTTGCTATTGGTAAAAGAAATACCAACATGCCTTCTGATGACTCCTGAATATCCCTTACAAACGAACGAGCCACACAGTGGGGCAACTCCATGCCTTTCCCACTCAGCCAGCCAAGGAAGAAGACGACAATCAAGCCACATTTGACAAGCGACAAGACCATTCACTTTCAGGGCCAAGGGGATTAGGACAGAGCAGCATCTTCCCATAGTGACAAGAGGAAACAAGAGAATCAAAAGCATCTTTCAATTCCATTCTGAGTCAAAGAGGTTGTTCTTGCAGCCCAACGGGGAACCTACATGCAAACCAGGTCTATGAGAAAATATGTCCCCACATTCCAGTGAGTGGTTGAAAGTGAACTTTTGACTCATTTGTTATTTGGAGACCAAATTCATTTGTTTTAGCTATTTCAACATAAGAATAACACATAGTTCCTATGGCTGGGCAAGACCAGGGAGTACATACAAAGGAAATGGATATTTTCCCAGGTAGAGGTTGGAATAGAGCTGTGTGTCCATGTGCTCAGAGCTGCGATACATGACTTACACCTTTTGTGACACTCAGAATTGCCACCATGCTCTCAGCTGCACTGGATGTATTTTTTGCACCATACCTACTCTGTCTCTGCTCACACAAGTGCTGCCAATAATACCAGTCCACACATAGTGGCAGACATGAATGAAGGGCATCTTTTAGCAAATTTCAAAGAATAGCAGGTAATTGATCCCATAGTGAATATTAATTAGGCAAACCAATGGCAATCAGGCATGGGCTATAAATCTTTCCCTTTTACTCCACGGTACTTCTAAGGCAGTACTAAGATATTTGGAAAACGGAAGGGTTCAATGCAGTGATGAAATTTTTCTTTAGGATAAGCTGACACATTTTCTAAGAATAGACCTAGGCTGGAAGCGACAGTCACTAAGTAACTTCCAATCTTGGGCTGTTTTAAAAAAATGCCTTGAGCAGCAGAACAGTCATTCCCAACCCTAATGAATATATTTTAAAAAAAATGTTTTAGCCCCCTCATGGGATGATAGTTGAACTTCTGGTATCTGATGACTGAGAAAAATACAAAAGGATATAAACTCAAAGCTAGTTTGAATTTGGTAATGTGCTTTGAAATTGATATTTTGCTGATCAAAAAAGCAATGAAATAGGTTGAACAGATGTTGTAAGACACACAGACTCACATATGCTTTAGCCTGTAGACAGAACTTGATGTGTTCAAGGATTTAGAACTTCTGACAACTACAGCCCCTCGAGGGCCGTGGCACCGAGGCTAGAAACCACTTATCTAAGGTAGGTTTTCAAATTCCAAGCTTCCAAGTTCTATGGCCATTACAAGAATATTCTCAATTATTTTACATTTGATAACAGTATGAAAACTATTTAAAAATGTATAACCAAAATCATGAACATAAGGAAATTGCGAATTAAACCCTCACTCTGCTTCACAGCACTAGGTAAAACACGAAGGACATTTGTGGGTTTCCCAGCCACCAGCCTGCAGCCATCACCTTACGTTATCAGCACCCCAGGGAGACCTGGCTTCTCTTCAGTCGGCGTTAGTAAGATCAGCACTCTGTGATGCCATGGTCACCGCTAACCAGTGAAGCACTGTCGAGTGAAATACAAAAACCATTCCACTTAAAACCAAAGAGTCCACACAAAGTCTTCAGGCACAGTGCCTGACATATATAGTAGGTGCCAGCAAATTTGGCTATTTTTATAACTTTCACAAGCCAGTAATTCATTAAGCCTGGATAGGAACTAAATTCCAGACTCTCATACCACTGTATGTTGCGGTGACTATTGCTAAAGATGCCGGCGTGTTTCAGTCCCTGCTGCTACTGCCATTCCTCTACTTTAAATAAATGTGTTGATATTCCTAGAAATCGTTAACTGAAAAGACGAAGCCATTAGGGTAAGGGGTGTTGCAACTGGAGGGCTTAAGTGCCACCAAAATGTAATAAAAGGTCTTCCTAGAGGAAAATGCTACATAATTTGAAAGTGAATTGTCAAAGCTTAAGGGATAGTTTCTTCTACAATGAGGGCAGTACAGGAGGTCCACTGAGTCACTAGCCAGTGTTACACTCTGTTCTGTCCAGATTTGTCAATGTTTCATAATTCAAGTATTATTGCTAAGATCTGACAGGTTAATATTTTGGTATAATATTAATAGTACTTATATTTATCATAATTCTATTTCTAAAATATGTAACTTGTATTAGTATGCTGTATAATAAGAGTATGATTTGTGTAATAACTTACATAATGTAATAGGATATTAATATAGTTATCAGTATGATATTAACATTTTAATATAGTTATTAAAAATGTTTTCTGCTTTAAAAACCAATTTTATTATATTTCAGGGATATCTGCTTCCCATCCTCAGTTAGCATACCTCTGTTTTATAATGTAAAAAGAAAGGGAAATCAGGATTCACCTAAATGAGTAACAAATGGATATTCCACAACTCAAGTGATACCTGCGAACCCAAGGTGTTAGCAAACTTAAGCGTCACCATCTACAGACTCCATAGGGGTGGGAGATACTCTTGTGCTCCTACGGTATCTTTTTGTTTTAAAATTCAGACGGAGTGAAATCAGCTCAGGCAATAATGCTGGTTTGTCCCAGAGCCCAGAATCTGGTATGTTACCCGGAATCCCTTATGCTCACAGAGGCTGTCGAAGAACAGGGTGTGGCTGCTGTGGCCTCCCAGGGGCCAGTGGTCACACTCCAGTCTCACAAAGTGAGCAGAGACTGTAGAGGCTCCACTATGTCATGGTCTTAGCAACACGCAGGAAACAATTTCCAACCATTCATTGTCATCTGGGTAAAATACAATTAAACATCAAAGACTTGAGTCTCACATAGTGACATCAAAATCTTTCCCTCAAGGCAAAAAAAAACTTGTCACACGCACTTAAAAGAGGTTCTATAAGTTAACATTAGAGAGATGCAGAGAAGGAACAAAACCCTAGGAGAGAAAAATACATAATTCTCTCAAATTAGGGTCTTCCATGGTCTGAAAACATCCATTAAATGGCGACTTTGATCCTAAAGAAAAAAACGACAAAAGAATATCGCTTGACCTCACCTCCATCAACTTTCCTCTGTTTCACTTGGAATGTGCAACTCAGCTGTCTACATCTTTTTTTTTTTTTTTTTTTTTCCCAGATGGAGTTTCTCTCTTGTTGCCCAGGCTGGAGTGCAACGGCGTGATCTTGGCTCATTGCAACCTCCGCCTACCGGGTTCAAGCGCTTCTCCTGCCTCAGCCTCCCAAGTAGCTGGGATTATAGGCATGCGCCACCACGCCAGGTTGATTTTGTATTTTTAGTAGAGATAGGGTTTCATCACGTTGGTCAGGCTGGTCTCAACCTCAGATGATCCACCCACCTCGGCCTCCCAAAGTGCTGGGATTACAGGCATGAGCCACTGAGCCCATCCAGCTGTCCACATCTTGGACCCCTTGACCATGCTGTGAAATCCTACGGACATAACCCAAAAGGCAACCTCCAAACCCATGCTGTCGCCGCCAATTCAACATATCTATTTTAACGTGGGATCAACTTGTCATGGTCACAATGCTGATGACGACTTCCATCCATTCGGTTTTCCTTCTATACATGTCCAAACATGTCACCAACTTGACCTCATTGACTCAGGACTTAATAGGTGTGAGGTATGAAAGGATTCAGATCTGTTTTGTTCCTGCATGGGGTCCCAGGTAAGAACTGAGATTACAATCAGTGGGTTTAAGAAGCACCAGAAACAAAATCCTGTACGTGTTTCCAAAGCCTCTGGGAAATAAACTGGTTTTATTATTTTCATTTCTCAGAACTACTTCCAGCAGCAAGACAGTTAAGAGACACGCTGGATGAGGCAACAGTGGGGAAGAAAGGGAGCTGATCTTGAATTGGCTGTGTACTGACAGATTGTATGAATAAAAGCAATAAAAATAAGCCCCCAAATCTGGGTTTTGAGTTGAAAAATCTCTTGTGAAAGGCAGTTTATTTCAACCATGATGTTATCTTTGTGTCGAAGATAAATCAGGAAATGTGTAGCCTGAGTCACCTGGGTTTGAGTTCCAGTTCTCCCTCTTCCTAGATGTTTGACTATGGCAGGGAAGTGGCCTCCTCTGAATCTTAGTTTTATCATCTGTAAAATGGAGGTAATGAAACCAACCTCATACAGTTGTTGTGAAGAATAAGCTGAGATAAGACATGTTGGATGTGGCCGGGCGCGGTGGCTCAAGCCTGTAATCCCAGCACTTTGGGAGGCCGAGACGGGCGGATCACGAGGTCAGGAGATCGAGACCATCCTGGCTAACACGGTGAAATCCCGTCTCTACTAAGAAATACAAAAAACTAGCCGGGCGAGGTGGCAGGCGCCTGTAGTCCCAGCTACTCGGGAGGCTGAGGCCGGAGAATGGCGTGAACCCGGGAGGCGGAGCTTGCAGTGAGCTGAGATCCGGCCACTGCACTCCAGCCTGGGCTACAGAGCGAGACTCCGTCTCAAAAAAAAAAAAAGACATGTTGGATGCCTGGTGCAATAAAATGTCACGCCCCTGAGCTTGCTCACAAGAACCGGTGCATGTCCCAGCTGGAGGCTTGCTACAAAATGCAGGCCAAGTGGAACTAAAGGAAGCACAACAATTCAAACAGATCAGCAGCTCTTAAGTCGTTCATGAAGGTAGAAAACTGATTTAAATTACAGCAGAATTAGCCTCGATAAATGAAACACAAACAAGATTAAAATAAATAGGTTCACTGCTGTATTTATCTGGCCATTTGATATTACGGTGTCTTTACTCTCCGCCACCTTTAAATAGCCAAATTTCTCAAAATAGTCATCTATATACTATCCCCTTTTTCCTTACCTTCCATTCCATAGCTGGCTGGTTCCAATCCATCATTTTACTGGAGTATTTCCCACTAAGGTTACAGAGTATCTTTATGTTGCTAAATTCAAAAACTTTTGTTCTTTAGTCTTCCTCTTATTAGACTCCTTAGCAGCGACTGATGCTATACACCCTTCCCGGAACATTTGCCTCCTCTGTCTTCCTTCACACGATACCATGTTTTCTTCTATGCCACTGTTCTTCCATCTCCTTCACAAGTTCATTGTCTCTTTAGGCCCCAAAGTATTATTGGTCCCAGACACTGGGACTTAGATGTTCTTACCTTATACCCCTCCCCCTAGATGATTTCATCTTTGCTCAAGATTTTCATGGCTCAAGATGTTCACCTGAACTACACGCAGATGAACCTCAACTCCACACCTCCAGCCGGAAATCTCTTGCCAGGCCCAGTCCTGTATGGACAAGTGCCTAGCTCAAAATCACCTCAAATGCCATCATCATTTTTTAAAATCCAAGTGTGACAATGCCTGTCCTCTGCTTAATTCCCTCAGATGGCCTCCCTTGCTCTTAGGACCAGGGCAGAAATCCTCCTCATGTGTACAGGTCCCTGGATCATGGGTGCTCGTGTCCTCTCCAGCCTCACCCCCCTGTTGGTGCTCTCTGCATTCCCACCACCTGAGCCTACACTTAGTTCAAGCAAATCCTCTCTCTCCTACTCTGAGTCCTTTGCATGTGCTGTTCCCTCTACCTGAAATTCTCTTCCCTCCTTTTGCCTGCTAAACCCACTGTATACTAAGAAAAAGGGTCATCACCAACGGACCTCTTTTATTTATTTTTTAACTTTTTGAATGAACTTAAAGAATGATTTAGAGAATAAAACAAGAGGACAAACATAACTGGATACATTAGTGATAACTTATACAGTAAACCCAAATTTTTACACCAATTTTCCTGGCTTTGAAGCTACAGATACTCAGAATAGGTAACATCTTTTGAATGCAATTAACTGCTCTTCGACTGTCCTGAATGAAGCTGGAATATATCCACCTTACAAATGCTAACCAGGTTTGAAAGTAGCTCTAGTAGGTTCTAGCTCATCATTACTTCTGGTCCTTTTCTGTAGTTGCACCATCAAAACGCAGTATCTTAACATGTGACGGCTCATAATTTTGCTGATGGAAGGACAGTCATGTTCTTGGCTTAATAATTACAAAACACTTTCATTTCTGGATTTAGTGTAATCAATTAGAGTGACAAGCCAATAATTCTTTTCATTTCTACATCATATATTCCTTCAAACCACCTCTGTACACACACCTGCATTTGTCCACTTACAAATCATATGAAGTACATTTTCAGTACACAAACATCTTAAAAGATGAAAGAATTTGTCACATGTCCTTCTAGCAAAAACAGAATGCTCCAGGTTTTTGCTGCAAAATGTTGTATGATGAAGTACTTCCTGATGAATGACAAACTGGATATGAATACTGTATTTCCTTTTCATCCTTTGAAATGCATTACTGACTCACATGATTCCTGAGTTGAGGAAAATTCATCTGGAATATCTTCATCTGAAGAATCTGAGATTTCACTTACACAATCAATTTCACCATCATCATTAGAGTCTCGAGAGCTTCTGTCCTTTGGCATTTATCTTCTGAATCATGGAATAATCGTGAGAGGTCCTCATCAGTTTCCTTTTCTTTGCTATCATGGCAGAAAATTCTCAATTCTCAACTCTGTTCAACTAGAGATTTTTAATTTAGATAAAAGTATTTCCTGACTTATACCTGCTTGAAAGATACAAAAAACTGTGGGCTCATGCAGTAAGAAAACTCAAGGATAATATAATAACACTTCACTATTGCATCAGCCTTAGAGTTGATTCCATCACTCACTGCTTTTCTAACGTTTATTTTAGTATGGTTGCGAATAATTAATAAGCATGGATGAACAAATTCCTCAGATGATGAAATAGGAAAATGTTTCAAGATACAGAAAAGACCACTAAGATGTCACCACGTGTCTTAGGTGTACAAGAGGTCCAACAGAGCTAGTGGTAATGCTAAGACAGAATGAGGTTTTTGTTTTGTTTTGTTTTTGTTTTTTTTTGCCTTTAAACAAATAATGTTCTGTTTGTTCCCTGAAAGACTGCTAGGAAAGATTAAATTTATGCAACAGCAATCCATTAAAGCCCTTAAGGCATCTCATAAAAGAAACTCCAAAATTAAAATGGGGTCCAAGGGACCCTGATGGTATACTGAGGGTTGCAGGCACCTCCCCACCTTTAAGATACTGGCGTTGTAGCCATCCTTTTCAGGGAAGATTTTCTGGATCTCCCTGATTAGGTCAAACTTGCCTATTATGCCGTGTTGTAACATCATTTTCTTCTCTCTCATAGCACTAACACAGTTGCAATCTGACATTTATTGGTCTGATTAGTGTGAGTATTTGGTCAATGTCTGCTCTCCCAATAAACTTTCAATTAGTGTACAGACTGTGTTTCCTCAGCATCTGGAATCGGACATGGCACACAGTAGGTTCTCAACAACGGCCTTGGGGAAACGAGTCTAAATTTGGTTCTGTCTCCACACTATGTGAAATAACTGTCATAATGGGTAAGAATTGCCCACTATTGCTTCAGAATTTTTTCCTAAGAGATTGTTAACATATTTTAATCCTCCCCGATTCCCTACTGTGTGATCCTTGTCAACAGTGAAGGAAATATTTACGAAGTACCTACCGGGATCAGGTGGCCTACGTTCAATATTCTGTTTGAATTCTCAAAAATCTTGCAAACTGAATATTCCCATTTTCACTTTACAGATGGGAAAGTGGGATTTAGAAGGTTAAATAACTTGCCCAAGGTCTCAGAACAAACAAACAGGAAAAGAGATTTAAATTCATGCCTGATCTGACTCCAACCTGTGTTCTTTCTACTTCATCCACTGAAACACACAAGGGAAGCATGTTCTATTTCTTTTACAACTATCCAGAACACAGAGTTTCTTGCTTGGGCAACAGTGGGCACTAAGAGGTGTTGTCTAAAGAGCTATGATCCAATTTAAGTCAATATTTAGATTTGCTCTGTCTTGTATGGGTTTTGCTTTTTTTTCTAAAGGGCTTGTACTGTCCTTGCCTTGTGTGTGGAATCTTATTTAAAAGTAGAATATATGCCACACAGGCACTTAGAAGCATTCTCATTTTCACTGGACAACAGGAAGCCAGCTCCAATGTATTAATAAGAGCAGTGTGCTACAGATATTACACATTTGCAGGCAAGTTTTACTTAGCAAATTCAGAAATAAAGTTCCCTAATGGAGGATCTGCCTTTTACCAGCACTTCAAAAATATATTTCCACTGGCTATCAGAATGCTTGTTGCCATACAATATCATGACTTAATGTAAGCTCAGTGTTTTTAATCTGTCAAATATGTACACATTTACGTACCCTTTTAAGAAGTTATAATGGTTTTCTCCTTAGAACTCATTTCACTTCATACATTTCTATTACAAGCTGAAGTTCCTCCTTTCAAAATCCAACAGCAAAATCATAAGATGACATCATTAAAAGACATAAAAAAGCTAGAGTGACATTAAAGGACTAGTAACTGGATGATGGAGGGAATTGAGAGTGAAGTCCAAGTTGCAAATTCAGGTCCCTCATCATAATTTCTACCTGTAGGCAAGAGTTCTATCATGCCACATGACAGTAACTACAGAGTCAAGCAGTGTCACCCTGACAGCACCTACACCAGCGGTCTCAGCGGGGAGGGAGGAGATGCAGCAGGAGCTGGGGTTCTTGCTTCGATATACACATGCAAGTCTCTTAGGTCCCCCCACATCCTGGCACACAGGAAACCATGCTGTAATTGGGAGATGGTAATTGGTAAGTCCTACAGATGAGTCCCCAACAAGCAGCAACCACTTCTCCTCCTTATCCCCGACAGACACACCTCAATCCACACAGTGCAACCCATATGCACACCCCAGCTGACACAGCATCATCATTTGGGCAACTACGTATGTGAAGTGGAAGAGTTAAACGGTCTGAGGCTGATGAGTGAGGTGCTCATGGGGGTCTGGGAAAGTCTTAGGGTGGGACGGCATGAGTGTTTCACTACTGTGGTTAAGAGTTAAAAGCCTACTGCCTCGGCTCAAATACTGACTCTGCCCTTGAGTGACCCAAGGTCCTCAGGTGAGTCATTTCTGCTCTCTGAGTCTCCATGTCCTCGCCTATAAAACGAAGGTGATAACATGTACTGTTTAAAGCGGCTGTGAAGGGTCACGGGGTTAATCAATGCACAGTGATTGGCAGCATACCCACCATAGCAAGTATGAGCTATTGCTGTTACAATTTTCAAAGAAGAAAAAAAAAATGGTGTGGTTCCAGAAAAGATGTGAAATTTAAGGAAAAAAAAAGTAGTTATCAAATACCTGATGAATGTCAAGACACATAATGAAGCCAGCTCATTCTGCTCAAATCCCTTCAAAGCTTTACTCCCAGTGTCATGGAAAACCTAACTGCTGACAAGGCCCTGTGTGGCCAGGACTGCACTTCCTGTGGCCTGATGTCCTTTTTCCTCCTCTCCAAGCCCTCTCAGCAGCCACAATGGCCTTAGGGTTCCACCAACATGTCAGGTGCACTCCAGCTTTATGGAGCACTTCCAGTGCAACTGCCTTCTGCCTGGACTGCTCTACCCTGCATAAGCATGTGGCCAAATCCCGCAGCGGCTTCCTGCTTTTCTTTCAATTGCTCCTTCTGGATAAAGCCCACCCTGATGTCCTATTTAAAACTGCAACCTTCCCTGGGGCCCTCCAAATCTGGAGCTCCTAGTTCTGTTTGCCCTGCTCTATTCCTATCCCCGACCCTGACCATAGCACCTTCTAAGTAAGTTGTTTTATTTATAGCATCTGCATGCCTCACTAGAGTGCACACCCACAAGGGTGAGGGCCAAGTCTGTCTGTCTTGTTCACTGAAGCTCTATAAACATGCTTTGAAGGAATAAAGTCTGAACTTCATATTTTAGATTTAAGTTTTTCCCTATTGGTTCAAAGAGGAAAACCACATCCTTGTGGGTTTTTTCCCCCGTCTCATTCTGACATGGATAAATCAAAAACAGTGACTGGAGCTCCTTATGATGCCAATGATCCAAGAAACCTCTAACCATTATACTAGATGGTTCAGTGGATAGCAAACTAATTTGTGTATTGTACTTATTTCTACCCTTCTCTTTCCAAAAAGAATCTGAGATCATTTCAGTAGTAAGGAATTTCCCTTTAGCAGTTCAAGAATTTACCATCAGATCTACTGAAAGAAATCTGAGGAAACAAGATGATAATCTCACATTTTTGAATATGCATCACTGTAAGACAAATACTTGCATACACAACACTATGCAATCATTTCTAGAACAGGTATTAATGTTTTGATCATGGCAATCATTGTCAAACTCGTGGCCACCAGAAAATCCCAAGATACATTGACCACCTCTCCAAAGAGGAGACCTTGTTTAACAGAAGGTGAGCTCCTTAAGTTATCAAAGGAAACTCACCCTTAAGATACATAAATTGCTTAACTGCTTGAACTTCTTGATTCCTTTGATAGCAAGGAACTTCAGTTCGATAGCAAGCACTTCACACTAATAGAGATGTGCATTACAGGATTACCAGGGATAGTCTAGGTGACAAATGACACACACATCTTGAGAAAGAAACATTCCTGAAATGGAGACTGGGCCTGCAAAGCTTGTGCAGTATTTTTCTACCTGGTCTAATTTTAGATGATTCCCTGACAACCGGAAGGTTTGTACTATGCCAGGTTTATCCCAGCTCAAGCAACAGATTTTTCTCTCTGACTGCAGGTCACATTATCTCATGAATGAACTGTTATTTAGGTCAGTAAAGAGTCTCTCCCTAATTGAATGTGCCTTTTATTCCTGATGCTCGTGCTCTATATATCAAGATTTTAAATCATATTTAGGGGGTGGGGAAGGGACTGGTATGAAGAAGCAAAAGGGGATTGTGACATTTATACTCTATTTGAAGCAGAACAGGTCAAAATACCTGAATATTTTTAAATCTTTCATTCTTAAATGATGGGTTCACTATGGTTTAATTGATACTAATTGCTTAGCTATTACTTCTTTCACAGTGTTAAACACTTTTTCTCCCTTAACAAGAAATGCTGTTTGATTTTAAATTTGAAGGTTACTGTTCTAGAAAAAAGAAAAGCAATGTATTGTTTCTTTCATCATAATAGGCAAACAAACAAAAATAATTCCTTGGTTGAATAACCACAGACCACTCTGAAGGGAGTGCTGGTAGGACTCGCCTGCTGAAAATAGTCAACTAATCTAAATGTGGAATGTAGTTAAAGAGAAACCAAATCCACAAATCAGAAAAAGCATCAAGCACTGTGAAAACCTAGCCCAGATCTAAGAATCAGGTTAAATCTCTCAATGAAATGAGATGATCCTGTTAATGGTGCATTTAGACTTTGAGAAGACTCAATCTTTTGCCCAAAACAAAAAGCATAAACTCCAGAAGGAGGGGATCAAGTCTCATCCCCAGTAGATGCTGGGAATCATGCCTGATACACAGCAGACCCTTAAAGTATCTGCTGAAGGCACTCAGGAATTAGTTTCCTGTAGTTCAACTGAGTGAATGTAACTCCACCGATAAACAGCACACTCCAGGAGCTATGAAACATGAAACTATCCATGCAGAACGCAAAAGGCATGAATCCACTCCCCTCTGGAAGCAGAAATCAAAGATGCTCATGGTCTCCCTTTAGAGAGTTCGACTTAATAGGTCAGAGACAGACCTAGGCACAAGTGTCTCTAAAGAATTATTCAGGTGATTCTAATGTGTGGAATAACAACAACAACCAAAAACACTGATCTATCAATACAATACTGAGTTGTTAAATCTACACATTTTAATGTCTTACCTATATTACTAATAAAAGCAAAAAAAAAAAAAGTTTTGAAGACAACGGCCACACTTCTATAACAATTCAAAAGGATCTGATACTTAAATCTCACATTTAAAATCTGTAACTACATTCTAAGACATTTTATTGAGTATGAAGAAATAAACCTTTTATTTATGATGCTTTAACTTAAAATGTGACTCCAGATTACTTTGAAATAAAAAATGCTACGCACAGTGCTTAGCACACAGCGATGCTTTCAAATAAAAATTGGCAAGTAAAATTCTCTCATTTCAATATTGACATGTACATGTTTCCATGTGGAGATTTTATAGACAAGTCATGAACGTTTGGTAGTAGTCGCCTGACCATCTTAAATCAGCATCTTTCAGCGATTTCAAATCACTTCAGATATCAAATGGGGAATAAGTATTTCACAGGTAGCCCCCTTTTGTATGTGCCATGTTCCTAAATATAGGCATACCTTGAGGATACTGCAGGTTTGGTTCCCGACCATCAAAATAAAGCTAGTATTTTTCAATGAAGCAAGTCACACGAATTGTTTTGTTTCCCAGGGCATACAGAAATCATGTTTACACCACACTGTAGTAAACCTATTAAGTGTGCCACGTCATATCTTCAAAAAACTACGTATCTTAATATTAAAATACGTCATTGCTAAAACTTGCTGTCCTGAGTCTTCAGCTGGCTGCAATCATTTTGCTGCTCTGGAGGGTCCTGCCTCGATGCTGATGGCTACTGACTCATCAGGGAGGGGGCTGCTGAAGGATGTGGCAGTTTCTTAAAACAGGACAACCGTGAAGCGTGCTGCTCTGATTGACTCGGAAAATTTTTCTGCAGCATGCCATGCTGTTTGAGAGCATGTTGCCCACGTGAGAACTTCTTCTAAAATTGGAGTCAATCCTCACAAACCCTGCCACTACTTGATTAATAAGGTTTATGGAATATTATGAATCCTTTGTCATTTCAACAATGTACACAACATCTTCACCAGGTGTCCATCTCCAGAAACCGATTTCTGTGCTCATCCATAAGAAGCAACTGCTCATCTGTCAGGTTTGATCATGACACTGCAGCAATTCAGTACCATCTCCAGGCTCCACCTTGAACTCTCATTCTTTGCTCTCTCCACCCTACCTGCAGGGACTTCCTCCAATGAATCCTTGAACCCCTCAAAGTTATCCATGAGGACTGAAATCCACTTCTTCCAAATTCCTGTTAATATTGATATTGTGACCTTCTACGAATCACGAGCATTCTTAATTATCTCTTAACATGGTAAATCCTTTCCAGAAGGTTTTCAATTTGCTTTGCACAGCTCCATTAAAGGAATCACAATCTATAGCACCCATAGCTTTACAAAATATGCTTCTTTTTATTTATTTTTTTTGAGTTGGAATCTTGCTCTGTCACCCAGGCTGGAGTGCAGTGGCACGATCTCCACTCACTGCAAGCTCTGCCCCCTGGGTTCACGCCATTTTCCTGCCTCAGCCTCCCAAGTAGCTGGGACTACAGGCTCCCGCCACCACGTCCGGCTAATTTTTTTTGTATTTTTAGTAGAGACGGGGTTTCACCGTGTTCTCCAGGATGATCTCAATCTCCCGACCTTGTGATCCGCCTGCCCTGTCCTCCCAAAGTGCTGGGATTACAGGCGTGAGCCACCGTGCCCGGTCAATGTTTCTTAAATAAGTCTTCAATGTGGAACTTACTTCTTCTCCATGGGCTGCAGAATGGATGCTGCATTAGCAGGCATGAAAACAACATTAATCTCTTTGTACATCTCATGAAAAGTTTTTGGATGACAAGGTACATTGTCAATGAGCACTAATATCTGGAAAGGAATTTTTTTTTTTTTTCCCTGTGCAGTAGGTCTCAACAGTGGGCATAAAAAATTCAGTAAACTGGCCAGGCATGGTGGCTCACGCCTGTAATCTCAGCACTTTGGGAGGCCGAGGAGGGCAGATCACCTGAGGTCAGGAGTTGGAGACCAGCCTGGCCAACACAGTGAAACCCCGTCGCTACTAAAAATACAAAACTTACCTGGGCTTGGTGGCAGATGCCTATAGTCCCAGCTACTCAGAAGGCCGAGGCAGGAGAACTGCTTGAGCCCAGGAGGTAAAGGTTGCAGTGAGCCGAAATCATGCCACTGGCACTCCAGCCTGGGTGACAGAGTGAGACTCCGTCTCAATTACCAAAAAAAAAAATTCAGTAAACCATGCTGTAAACAGATGTGCTGTCATCCAGGCTTTGTTGTTCCATTTACAGAGCACTGGAAGAGTAAGTTTAGTGTAATTCTTGAGGGCCCAAGGATTTTTGGAGTAGTAAATGAGTAATGGCTTAACTGAAATTCACCAGTTGTATTAGCTCCTAATAAGATAATCAATCTGTCCTTTGAAGCCAGGCACTGACTTCTCTTTGGCTATGAGACTTCTCGATGGCGTCTTTCAGTACAAGGCTGTTTCATCTACCTTGAAAAATCTGTTGTTTAGTGTTGCCACCTTTATCAACGATCTCACTTCCTGCAGCTTCTCCATTAGCACTTCTGCTTCGCCTTGTACTTTTATGTTACAGAGACGGCTTCTTTCCTTCAACCTCACCAACCACCCTCTGCTAGCTTCAAACTTCTCTTTTGCAGCTTCCTCGCCAATCTCATCCTTCACAGATTTGAAGAGTTAGGGCTTTGCTCTGGATTAAGCTTTGGCTTAAGGAATTGTTGTGGCTGGTTTGATTTTCTATCCAGACCACTTCAATTTTCTCCGTATCAGCAATAAGGCCATTCCACTTTATCACTTGTATGTTCATGGGAACAGCACTTTCAATCTCCTTCAAGAACTTTTCCTTTGCATTTACAGCTTGGATACCTGCTTGGTGCAAGAGACTCAGCTTTCAGCCTTTCTCAGCTTTTGACAAGCCTTTCTCACTGAGCTTTAATTAATCATTTCAAGCTTTTGATTCTTTACTCTTTCATTCACTTGAACAGTTACAGGCCATTGTATGGTTATTAACTGACCTGACTTCAGTTAATTTCAGTTAAAATTTGGGGTACAGAAAAGTCCAAGTGGAGGGAGAGAGACGGGGAATGGCAGAACTTCACACGCAACTTTGATTAAGCTGTCTTCTCTGGGTACCGTTCCATGCACCCCGAAACAATTACAAGAGTAACACCAAAGGTCATGGATCACAGATCACCGTTAACAGTTGTAATAAAGCTTGAAATATTGTAAAAATTACCTACGTGTGAAACAGAGATGCAAACTGAGCAAGTTATTGGGAAAATGCTATTGGGAAATGGCACCGACAGTTTCAGACAGACACAGGGTGGCCACGAACCTTCAATTTGTTAAAAAGGGGAAAAACGGGCAGTATCCGAGAAGCACACTCAGGTGAAGTGCAATTAAACAAGGTGTACCTGTATTCTATCTCCAAGCACATCAAAGGCTGATGACACTGTACTTCTAAGAGCAGCCAAGGAGAGTTAAAGGCAGGAGCACTGAGGGTACGCAATGCAGGAACATCGTTAACATTAAGAAACTCCATGATATAAAATATTTCACATACCCCAATTACACTTTTCCTGTAATTAATGATTTCATTGTAATGAGAGAATCTGGCATACCTGTACCTTACTCTTCAGAAGTACAAAATGCCCCTGAATCATGAAGGCACCACTGACTATGCCAGGAATGGTGCACGCAGAGCTGTCCTATCCAGGCAGAGTTTTGAGTGTTCACCCATTTCCTAGGGTGAACACTAGGAAATGTATTAAATGACAAAGTGTATTCCATGTTCTTTCAGGTACCAGAATGCAGTAAAACTGCTGCTGGTACCTCCGAGATCATGGGACTGTTCAGTGACTTGGTGAGACAAACTAGACTTCAACTCTTCAAATACTGTGATCTCCACTCCCAAGGGAGTCAAAAGCACCAGCAACTCTCTTACTAGACTTCTCTTCCTCTTGCATTTTGAGCACAAGCCTCTGATTTCAAAGATGAGTGTTTCTGATACACTTTTATCCAAGAAAAAGAACTATGACCAATTCAACGGCTTTTGAGCATCTACTCTGTGCTAAGCTTAAGCGTGGGAAAGTTGAAACCTATCCTAATCAGATAAACTCCAGCAATTTAAATGCAAAGGCTCTATTCCCTCCTTCAGGTGCACTGTTAGGAGATGAAAACTTGCGCCTTCCAGGGACTTCAGATATTCAACAAAATGAGTGTGGGGGAGTCCTTCAAGAGTTCAGTTTCCTTAAGTGAAAGCACTACTCTTCACTCTTCCAGTGCCTGAGGCTGCGTTTCCCTCTGGCTGATACAAATCACTGCATTTTCCATCCTCTGTCCTGACAGCTGCTGTCTCGGAGTCTGCAAGGCTATGGGCTTATTGCAATAGCACAACTCTTTCTTTGGACTCCAAGCCTTCTCTGCAAGGTTTAATATCTTTGATGCACAGAAACAAGAGCAGTCACATGGGATATGTTTTCACCATCTCACCAGAATTCTCCTTCAATCGGCCTTAGCCTTAAAAAAAGACCACGCTAGGTAAACAAAACACTTTCCTCATGGTGAGAAAGGGGTCCATTTTTCCCGAGAACCAGTTTAGTAAATGGTCCTAAGTTTGCTCCCCACCTTAGTAAAATGGCTCAAACCCTCCCAAATTACCAGGCCAAATTTTTAGGTACAGTATAAAGACAAATATATTCAAGCATAGGCTTTCCACCCTAAAACAGACAATGCAAGTCTAGTCAAATCGAGGCAAAAAGCCAGGGATGAAGGAATAGAATATGTCAGCTGACGGATGAAAACGGCAGCATTATGTGGTGAGCCATGGTGAAGTGAGTCAGAGAGCCTGCGTTCTAGCGGTGGCTCTGTTTACTAGTGGAGGGCACTGAAGGAGTGGTTTGTTAACCTTGTCTGTAGCTTGACTCGTACATAAAATAGAAGGACACAGGCAATGGCTCACGGCTATAATCCCGGCATTTTGTGAGGCCAAGACAGAAGCATTGCTTGAGCTCAGGAGTTTGAGACCAGCCTGCACAAGATGGCGAAACCCCCCGTCTCAA